AATCAAGAAAATTTGATTCTCAAAATCCTTATGATGGCCGAAAGTTTGATTATAAAAGTGAGAAGGATTTTTGAAATTCTTCTCCACTTAAATGTTTAAAGTGTATTTTATTTGACACCAAAAAATTAATATAAAATTAATTTTAAATCAAATAAAATATCAATATCATTTTAAACAAGTATACAAATATACTTTAAATAGTTTATGTCAAAATAATTATTTTCATAATTAAAATGACAAACCAAAATAAAATATTCAACATATAATATATATACATTAATCGGTACATATATAATATATATAACCGAATATTTATATATATAATATTATATTCCAAAATACTTTATTTTACTATTTTCTACAAATATACAAATTACTTATTATCCCATTGTTTAATCCTACTCCTTAAATTGTCCAAAGTGTGTGACCCGTATAGGCACTTATAAAACTGGTCACAGTATTGGCTCTGCACCAATACTATAAGCAATAAGCGGTATCTAGCAACACATTATTGCCCCCCAGATTATAAGTTAAGACGTTTGCACCGTCAAAACCTTTCCACGACTCAGACTCCGTGTAACTGTATCCCTTTGTCTCAATGTCTAAACTTAATGCAAGGGATTAATAAAATCCAGCTTGTATCCATTAAGTCATTCACTGATTTATCAAGTCTAACTAATAGGAACAGACGTCATAAAAGCATCTCAGCATGGCCATGCAGTTTCCTCAGTCATGACTTATCAGTGGGCCCCATAAGACATTAATCTCTTTAAAAAGAGTAGTGACAAATCCTATGTACGTAATCTACGTTTCTGAATANATACACATATCCATATCTACTAAGGTCGTCAGTAAATGTAACGAAGTAAGAATAACCACCTCTAGCTACAGTGCTAATTGGACCACAGACATCGGAGTGTATGAGGCCCAATAAGTCACTCGCCCTTTTACCGTGACCGGTGAATGGAGCCTTTGTCATTTTACCAAGTAAACAAGATTTACATACATCATATGACTGGAAGTCAAATGAATCAAGTACACCAGAACGATGTAACTTAGATATGCGTTTCGCGTTAATGTGGCCCAAACGACAATGCCAAAGGTACGCGAGATTCAAACTATTAGGTTTGTTTCTCTTAACATCTACGTTATATACTGCGGTATCCATGTCGAGGACATAGAGACCATTGGTCATTTTTGCACTTGCATAAAATATATCATTTCTAAAGACTGAAAGAGTTTTGTCTTTTACAACGAATGAAAATCCTGCTTTGTCAAGGCAGGATACAGAAATGATGTTTCTGCTCATACTAGGTACAAACAGACAATTATTCAAATGCAATATTAGACCACTAGGTAGAGATAAACTATAGGTTCCGACGGCTAATGCATAGATGAGTGCGCCATTGCCGACGTTTAGTTGTATCTCTCCCTCCGTCAATTGTCTACATTCATGCAAGTTCTGCATAGAAGTACAGATGTGAGAACCACATCCAGTATCCATCACCCAAGAGGTGATATCAGACATATTGACTTTGATAACGTAAATACCTGAGTTTTGGGGTTGACCCTGGTAAAGGTCTCTTAAGCATTGTATCATAGGACGCACTTCCATGTCCGCGTGGAGCCTTTGGAGCTCCGCGGTCATACTGGCCATAATGATACACTTTACATCTCGCGCGTCGTCCTCATACTTCTTGAAGTAAGTGAGTTCGGACGCACGAGCATTAGCATCAGGGGTCTTGGGAGGATCCGTTTCGAGGATGTAGAGTTTCCTCTCACAGTTAAGAACGATTTGAAGGTTCATCTCCCAGTCAAGAAAGTTGGTCCCGGATAACTTGTTGTTTTCCAGGATGTAACGCAGGTTGAAAGGGTTGTTGTTGTTTGCCATCTACAGAAAATTTTGCAAACTAGGTTATCTATCATGTTTAATAATTAATTAGGCCTTTAATTAATTATCTCCCACTATTTTTAACAAATCAATAACCCTCGGTATTAATTCGGAGATTTCCGGCGAAACCTCTAGTGGGCCAAGATCCATATTTCATTATCTTGCGTTCCGCTTGGGCGTTACTCCACAAGACAACTATTTAGGTAGGAACATAGTTCCAACTGATGAGCCGGGCTCTCAGCTCTTGGTCTGGTGTTGGGCGAACAATATTACTACAATCGGACCAGGACACCTTTTCACCGTACTTGTAATTGGCTGAGGCACGTCTTACAAGCAGACTACTTTGGTTAGGAATAGAGTTCCAATTAAATCATAAAGATCCAACTCCTGGCTGGATGAGTGAGTAAAATCATCCGACTTGTCATTGATGACCCCAACTTACTGCCTCTGAGTCGTCCATCCATTTGACCGAGACTCAGTTAAGTCTAACCCAACGTGCGACAGCGACCACGCTATGGCGGTTCCCGTAACCAGCTTAACATACACCGTACTATGCTCTGCTGAGGCTGAGTACATGACAGTGCACATTAGCCGGATAGGTG